GTTTTTTTTTGTTTGTTTGTTTGAGACAATGTCTTGCTATGTAATGCAGGCTGTCCGGGAACTTGCTTATCTAGCCCGGCTGGCCTTGAACTCATGGAGATCCTCCTGCCTCAGCCTCCCAAGTCTGAGATTACAGGTGTGCACCACCACAGCTGGCAACAATGAGTGAATTTAAAGATCAATCCAAAGCTATGGGGATGTATGCAGCTCGGAGCTCCCTGAGCTCAAGGGGACTGAGATGGAAGGGGAGAACATAAAAACGACTGAGATGTGCTACATGATGGGTTCTGCCTGTGTGAAGCTCTGCCAGGATCTTCAGTGAGCCTGGCCAATATGGCCCTGGACAGTGCCTCCCTTCAAGACTGACTCCCACATTCTTCTTGCAAATGTGAAAATTGAACTCCCTGCTTCTCTTGCACAAGCCAACATCCCCAAGTCAGCTGTCTCAACCTCTCTCTGCCCACCCCTTCAACTCCACCTGTCAAACTAAAGAAAAGCCCAGGGCTTCTCTGTTTGAGCAGAGGGGACCTTGCACTCTCCTGCAGCCCTCCCGTACCTGCAATAAAGGCCTTTTCCTGTTTTCTTTCTTTGCTCTTATTTTGTGCCGTGAGAGGAAAAATCTATCATTTTTGGTGCCATAACTCAGACTGACAGGCAGGGTGGCTCCTGGGCACAAGTCCCCGTTGGAGCTCCCCATCAATGAGCTCTTTCTCTGCTTTTTCTCTTCCCTGGTTTTCCTCTTTCTCTCATCTCTGCGGCTGCCATTGCTAGCCTCCATCCAATACCAAACCACCTCGTTCTCACAGGGAGGCACTTCGTGCTTTGGGGTGCCTGTCTTGTAACTCATGGGCTCATGTCAGGATTTCCCCCACATCCTTCAGGACCCGCAGTCCTTTTTCCCTAAGTGACAATTGGAGGATGCAGGTGTTGGGGTCTACAGAGTATTTCTCTCTCCCACAACACTGAGAAGGGTGATGACTCGAAGGGATCGTGGCTCAGTTTTTGGAGCCTCGATCCAGCTGTCCTCTCATTTGGTCACAATGGGAAATACTTCTTCCCACTCCCCAAAACACACATTTCCTGCCAGACAGCTGGCCAAAGTATCGATAATGTGCACCCCTGGCCAGAAGGGGGCGACAAACACTAGGCCACCCTCTGCAAACTGGATGACTTCTGCAATCACAGTGGCAAGCCCAAGTAGGGGCCTGTTTTGCTCTCAGGGCGTGTCCCTCCCTCCTTCAGCATATGGGGTGGCCCCAGCTCTTTGGCCTGCTCCACACCATCGACCTCTGCCATATCCCCAAGAAACTTCCTGCTTTTCTCTGTTGCCATCTTCTCCGCCCCTCGCCATCACCTTGTGTCTCCTCCTGCTCTGGCCATTTCCCCACCTGCCCATCACACCCCAACTCACTCCTCCAGCCTCCACTGCCTTCTGACCCCTCCCAGCCTCTGTGTCCCCTCCTGCTTGCCACCACCTGCCAGCTCTGCATGGCTGCTGCTATCTCCACCCCAGCCTGCTTCAAAGTGTCACTCAGCCAACCTCTCCCTCCTGCCTGTGAGGTGACAGGCACTGAGGACTTGGTCCATGTTAAGTCCTTTTTTCTCTCTCTGCCTTTTCCCGTGTCTCACAGCACTGAGGTCCTTAGCTACCAACCCGTGTCATTCTGTCAAAGAGCTTCAATTCAGGGTAAACTTCTATGACTTCCTAATAGCTGTCTTTGCTTTGCTACTATCTTTTCTTTCACAGGTATAAAAAGTTGTGCTCCTTTTGGTTGTTATTTCAAGAGATCTCTGTTAAATGGCTTGTAAAAAGGATCTCACTAGTCTACATTTACAATTGTACAACTTATAAAAGTTATGAGAAATCAAATTGGCCAAATATATTTGGGTGCACGCTGATTGTGTTTGTATGTTAAACTGTGTATGTTCTGGACTGTGGATTTATAGCTGCTTAAGTGCCTGCCTGTCAAGCACAAGGACATGAGGTTATGAGTTCCACCCCTGGTACTAAAAAACAAATACCAAAACAAAAAATTGTGTATGTTTCTGTGTCCTGTACAGATTGTCTATATCTATTTGTTTGTCATATCCATGAACAATTGTTTTTTTACTTGAGCTGAACAATTTTTTCCTTTCCCATATTTGGATCAATGGTCCAAAATTTATTATGGGTTATATGTCTAAAACCCTGCTTCCACCTGAGTTGCCAGGTCATCAAAATGATGCTAAAATTGGTTATGTAAATTTGATAATACTGTCATTTATGTTTCGTGACACAACAGTCTCTCACTGTTTAAAAACAGTATGCTAAATATGGTGTCTGGATTTTTCATAAGTCGCTAAGAAATTATTAAGACAATTAAAATCCTATAGGGTGAGAGGCATTATCGGATAGGACTGCTGTGGAACTGATGACTCAGAAAGTGGCTACTTGGTAACATTTACCCAGTTCTTGTTCATTGATCAGAGGCTCCAATGACCTCCAAAGCCTTATGGGAGACATCCCAACTAAAATTCAAAAACACATTATTGTATTATGTTCACATCAGTCATTGTAAAAGAAACCATACAATAATTTTTTTGATTTAAATATGCTCTGATATAAAGGTTTCACATGAAACGATAGATTGTTATTAACCTTATGGTGTACTAATGTATTCATGCTTCTACATGTACAGGTCTTCCTTCCAAAAATGTAAAACAGAGATTGTTTAACAAAATTGTTTTAGATTCAGACCTCTGCCTGTAACACAAACTTACTCCATGCACATCCCACTAAAGATAAACCAGTCAGGTGAAAGCTTATGTACTAGATAGGGATGCTATCTAGATAGGGATGCTATCTAAAATAGCACTTAAGATACTAAAAGGGATATCTTAGGTCAAAATGAAAATTCAGATTGACACAAAGTGTCATAATTGTCATGCTACAATATTATGTATAGGTTTTATTTCAAATTTTCTTTGGAAACTATGTAACTGTTAAAATTTTCCATGGGTATAATATTAAGACATCAATGATTGATAGAAATATTGGTTCCTATTTTATGTTCTAAGGTGCTTGATATTCAGGTAAGGTAATAATGTTAAACATGCTGCCTTATTACACTATAATATTACCAATACTTACTTCTGGATGTTTAACAATAGATATTTGGAGACCAAAAATTAAAAAGATGAGTGGGCTGGGAGGACAACCAATATTTTGGTTGCGGCCCTCTGATGTCACTGAAGACCCAGGATATAAGAGAACCTCTGCAGTGACATTCCTTATCTCCGTGGGTCTTGTGATCAAGGAGATTATGGGACTACCAAAAAGTGTGACACAATATATAGTGTGCTTAAGGAGAGTCACCAGGAGAAAACTCCCCCAAGCTTTCACAGTGACTCATTGCTTGACCATCCTGATGGCTGACACTGTCAAGAACTGAGAGGCTCCACACATGGTTCCAAGACAAATTCTGAGGAGACTTACCTGACCTTGATAGATAGCAAGGGTTAGTTTTAATTAACACAGGTCTCAATTTAACTTGGTCTTAAGCATCCAGCAAAAAAATATAATCAAAGGATATAAAAGTGTGTCATAAGTTAAATATAAAAAGGGCTCCAGGTTTAACCTCTTCAGGCAGTTTCCAACTATCCGAGTAATTAACAAGTGTTATGGGCAATTAAAAATACATTATGATAATATCTGCAAAAAAGTCTGACTGCTGTTCTTATAGAAAAGGGAACACTTTCCTCCTAGCTTCTTCCCCTGGCAGGACCTCTCATACTACTCGTTGTTTTTTGACTATAGCTCCTTGTCTGTTTAAACTTTTCTCAAGATTTCTTCAATCCAATTTGTGGGCCTTTATAACAAGGTACTTCCTTGTCCTGAGGGGACCCCTGGCACCAGATTCTACCCGGGTCCAACCTGTCATCCCAGTGACTACTTCAATGCCCATCATGTCACCCCAGTCAGCAGGAAGCAGTTTAAGAGTGGCTGCCTCTAACACCCAAAAGATGGGAATAATGGATTCCGCTCCTGTGGAATACTGCCAGGCTCAGCGTGGTGCCTGCGCAACATGGCACTGGCCCGTACCTCACTTCAAAACTGACTTCCACGTTCTTCTTGCAAACCCAAAAAGTGAACTTCCCACTTGTTGTGCACACATCAACAATCCCTCAAATAACTGTCAAAATGTCACTCTGCCCACCCCATCGAACTCCATCCCTCTCAAACTGAATAAAAGCTCCAGGTTTCTTTGTCTGCCCTGAAGGGATCTTGCACCCCACTGCAGCCCTCCCATGCCAGCAATAAAGGCCTTTTTGTTTTTTCTTCTTTACTCGTTTTTCTACATTGAGGAAAAATCTATCATGCATATCCACCAACTGTCTCTGATGAATATGATCATTACGTACTGTGATCACATACCATAAAAATAAAAACTAAGCAAAATGCAGTCACACAAGAGGCATAACAAAGTGTTCAGTGAAACACAAAGTCCCAATCACATCCAAATGGACGTTTCAGAGAACCTGCCAGGAGAGCGCTGGCACTGACTCTGCTTCAGGGAATTCCCAATGCAGGCTCTTTGCAGATGTCTTTTTCACAGGATGAGGATGGTAAATGCTTCTGAAGCAAAAGCAGAAATTCTATCTTCACTTCCCACAGGTAGAGTCTGCCCCGAGACTGCTATCAGGTCACTCAGTGATTCACCATCAGTGCTCAGTCTGTCCTTCCTCATCTTCAATGTGTCTGCTTACAAGGCATGGGATGCGCCATCTATACTCACTGCTCACTGGGTGGCAGGGTCCACACCAGGACCGACTAGGGCCTAGTGCACGCACCCGCCTGTTCCATTCCTACGCCCACACTTGGCCTGTGTCACGGTGTGCCACCCCCTTCCTTGGCCTTGCCCTTCCTCTGCTTGGCCAGTGACCCTATCCCCAATGCTGGCCGGAAGCCAGGCCAGAGCACAGTGGGTGATGCGACAGGAGGTACCTAGTCCAGGCTGAGGTTTCTTGATAAAAAATATTTTAATGAAATACTTGGATCTAACATGTAGGGTGCAGTAATTCAGTAGTAAAATGAATCGCATAAACAATTAAGAAGAATTCAGGTAATTCAGAATAAACATTCTGCAGCACAACTAGATTTTTCAATTCATTGTGAGGGAAAACCTGAGGATTACTAGGTCCATCCCCAGGATGCCTGGGCCCTTGTCAAGGCAAAAGTGAGGGAGGCAGAACTGCCACCCCATGGTACCACCAAGGTCCACGGGTCCTTATGACAGTAAGAGGAGCAGATAAACACACGTGGGCCCAACAGCATGACAGTCACAGTTCACAAAGCCACCCTGACTCAAGGTAGCGACAATCCTCTCTTCAAATCCCATGCAAAGCCCCTGAGCCCTTGAGAGAGGGCCATGCTGGTATTTCTTTGCCATCCCTCAAACAGAAGCCAGCTCCCACGGGGCTCGGTAACCTGTCTTTCACAACACCTCATCCTATGGAAAAGCGCAGTGCAGCCGCCTCAGGGTCACTATTAAGCTACTTCATTCGATTACACTATTTTATCATGGCAAGAAAGCAAGCACAGTTAACATGTGAACATAGTGGCATGGCCTTGTGGTGGTAAAACTTCATATACTAAAACAGCCTGTGAGCCAGGTTGTCAGTACCTGATACTGATGAGAAGAACAACTGAAGAACAGACAATCTGAGTGTGGTGAAGCACACCTGTAACTCCAGCACTTGGGAGGCGGAGGCATGAGGATCCCTGTGAGTTCTAGGCCAGTTACATAGAGTTGCCCAGGCTGGAGACCCCCTGCAACAGGATTAGGGAGGGAGAGAGAGAGACAAAGAGCAAGAGTGAGAGCAACAGAGAGAGACAGAGAGAGAGAGAGACAGACAGACAGACAGAGTAAGTGACAGAGACAGAGGGAGACAGAGACAGAGAAAGAGACAGAGCTAGAGAGACAGAGAGAGAGAGCTCTTGAAGCTTGAAATAACACCAGGAGAGGCTGAGCTGTTGGCTTACTTCCTGGAGAGGAGTGTCTTTGTGGATGTGGTTATAAGCCAGACATTAGGTCTCAAGTATATCCCAGGCTGGATTTGATCTTGATAGCTGAAGTCTTCTGCCCCAGCCTCCCAAGTCACTAGGACTGCCGGCACCTCCCTATTCTTGGGTGTCTATTTCATGGAGCAAAGCTGACTAAGGTAGATCACGTCATTTGTAGTAAATTCCCATTTCCTTTTCTTGACTCTGAAATGCAGCATTCGTTTGCTGGGAGAAAACCCAAGGCCTCTGTGATGTGGGGTTAGGGCCATGGCTGCCTTTCCCAAGCAGACGATTACATTCTGCTTGTGGAATGCATTTGACTTGATCTAAGGAGCCCCTGCCTTCTGCTGAGTGGCTGCTCCCTCAAATGGAGTCCTAGAGTGGGCGGCTGAACCCCAAACCCACACAGAAGTAAATGTCCTAAAACAGTGAGCTGTGAGTTCCGTATTCAGCAACAGTTCAGGCAAAGCCTACACACTTCCTCTCTCAGAGCTGGGTAACAGGTAAGTCAAAGACCACTAAGGTCCCAGATAAACATATACCTGTTTTAGTATATGAAGATACACTTTTTCAGGTGGTCCACAGGTTGAAATTTACTAATACAGTGTCAAGTGACTGTGGTAGTGCATTGCTAGAATGCCAGTTTTCTAGGGGGCTGAGGCAGGAGGATCAAGTTTCAGCCCAGCCTGGGCAACTCAGCAACTTGATGAGATCCTATCTTAAAATAAGAAATTAAAAAAAAAAAAAAAAAAAAAGGGCTCAGAGAGCTCAGCACAATGGCCCTGGGTTCAATGCCCAGTACTACAACAAACAAACAGTTCCTGTGTGGATTACTGGAACCGAAAATCATTTTCCAAAATAATAATTTGCACGCAAAATGTAACTTACTTTATAACAACTGATAAAGACAACAACAGGTCAGGTGTGGTGGTGCATGGCTGTAACCTTACTACTCAGGAGGCTGAGGCAGGAGGACTGCAGGAAGTTCTAGGACAGCCTGGGCTACACAGTGAGTTCAAGAATGCCCTGAAGGACACAGTGAGACTCTACCTCAAAACAATAACTGACAAAAAGAATAAAACTATGCATACATTACGACTGATCAAAGAAAATAAGGTATAATATTTCAAAGAAAAGCCTACTATTTCAGCTTAGGGAAATCTCTATTTGTTATTAATCCAAAGAACAGATTTCACGAGCTATTATCCAATGAGCGCATCTTTTCAAGTTTCACTTTATTCCAATAAGAATACTGAAAACATCACACTGTCCATAAATATGATCAATAGCTCCTAATTAATAAAGAGCTGTACTGGACATGGCAGTACATGCTTGTAATCCCAGTTGTTAAGGAGGGTTCCAAGTCTGAAGCCAGCCTTGGTAAGTTGGCAAGACCTTGTCTCCAAACAGAACTGAAAATGGGCATGGATGTCACTGTACATCAGCATTGCCAGAGTGTAGCCAGCATTATGTATGTGTGTGCTCAGAAGTATGTGTGAGGGGAGAAAGAGACACAGAGAGAACAGAAGACAGTTACTCATAACCCCACTACAAATTATACCAGCTGCTGACACTCTGGAGACTTCTCTGCATCCTGACTGACAAACGCAGAAATGCACACAAGTATTACAATCAAATGCTGGGACCTTGTGAATGTCCAAAACTGCGCCTACTCCTCAGATATCAGACCAGGTGTCTTTTCTATGACTAAGACATTCCCCTCTTAAGAGTACACAGTCACTTTAGTGTTATTTAAAATGACCGATTCTATGTTAGAGTGTTAACTGAAGCTAAAAAGCAATCACAGATTAGGAGAGTTCCCCAAACATTGCAAATTCATTTCACTTGAAACTTGCTATTTAAATGACATATCAGAGAAAAATATCCAAAAACTGCAAGGTGCAAATCATTGCTGGTCTTCAGCATGTGGCAATCCTCTTGTTTCAGCCTCCTGAGTGCTCAGATCAAAGGCACACATGGCAACACCTGGCCCAGTGGAATTCTTGTTAGATTGTGGTGAGATCCTTTTCAAGCTGCAGAACAGTTTCCTTGAGTGCTGGATCTGCTGCCCAGTTAACTTTACTCCCCAAAATGATGTTCTATAATTAAAAATAAAAAGAAAAAACAATTCAACAAAACTTTAAAATGTAAGCACTTTAAAATTTTAACAAGGTTTTTCTTAAATAATCCCTTCACTAACCTTATGTAATTTTTTAAAACAATTAACAAAGTTTATTAGCTCTGTATTCAAGAGAAAAGAGTAATACACTATTTTTTTTGTCCACGAATTCAACTCAGGACCTCACTTACCTGTATTCCCTGCGAGTGATACACTTTTGTCTTCATTTCCATTTACAAGAGGCTTCAGCAGGGTTAAGCTATATTTATATGTTTGCAAATACCTCATCAATTTCCACGGACAATTTTTGCTTCTTTCATCCGTAGGCCGAAGGGTGGAACCGATGGTCTTCACACTTGAGTTGCATCCCCAGCCCTTTGTGTGGACAAACATGGACCTCCACAGCCATCTCAGTCAGCCATCTTTCTTTTCTTTTTCTTTCATCTATCTTTCTTTCTTTTGTACATACTTTCTGTTTTGGTCAGTAATGTCTCAGAGGAAAAATGTTATGGCAATATTTACTAGAGTTTACTTGGACCAGTCATCATGCTGATATTTCTCTCTTTGTGATGGGGTTCGGATCAACCCCATGTCCTTGAGCACCCACTTGAGCTAAATTCCCAGTGGCAGCAGTCACCTTCTTAGCTGCCACTCTCATCCAGGTCCACTCCGCCCTCAAACCTGGAGGCTAAAGATGTACACCAACCTGCCTCCAGAGCTGTAGAAACATGCCAGTTCTAAATCCTAATGATTAACCACGATGACAATTGAGCCCCTAAACGCTGACTGTACATGAATATTACATATGTAAGTACAGCAAATATCAGTAGACAATTATAATTTGTGCAATGCTGGGACTGAATTCGGGGCTTCAACAATGCTAGGCAAGTGCTCTCCAGTGCGGCTATGTACTCAGTCCTTATACTGAATTATCTTATGATCAAAGACTAACATGACCTATGGTAAGGTAATCACATCAGTTGTGTTTTTAAAAGGTCTTTATCCCTCCTTTCCTGATTTATACAAATGTTACCTGGAACACGTGTTGAATAACTGTAGCAATCTCCATCTCTGTTTGTAGGATTTGTTGCATGGTCTTTATCTTGTCTGAATTTCCCATACTGTTCAGCTCCTCTTTCCGTTTCTTCTTCTCAGTTTGTATTTCTAAAAGCTTATTTTCTGAAGCATGTTTTAATTCTGTTATGTTCAAATAAAACAATATGAGAATTCTATAAACAAAGATCTTGAAAAAGTAAGCAGCAGAATTATTTCCTAATTATTTCAGACAGCAGAAAAATCTGAATTAATAGCAGCTAGGTTGTACATTCTATTTTGATCTAAAAATGACTTCTCAGTACAAAGAACAATACTTTTTGGCAGTGCAGATCAAATCCAGGAGTGCTTTTGCACTTCCCTTCTTCATGCCTACACCATCACTCTGTTACATTTTTCTGCAGTGCTGGGGACTTCACCTTGGGCCTTCAAAGGGGGCTACTTTCTCAGCACTGTTGTATTTGGAGACAGGGTCTTCCCAAATTGCCTAGGGTGGGTTTGAAGTAGGGATCCTTCTGCCTCAGCTTTCCCAAGGGCTGGGATTACAGGTGTGTGCCACCGCAGCTGGCTCCAGCTTAATTTGTTCATTTTGAGACAGGCTCTGGCTACATTGCTGAGACTGGCCTCAAACTTTTTGATTTTCCACCTCTACCTCCTAAACAGCTTGGATTAAAGGTATATGCCAGTAATCCCACTTATAATATTTTAATTCCCTCAGTGAAATGATCAGGACATTTATGTGTGATCATGACAGTTGTCTATAACTGCTGCAAGTGGCATCATATAAAAGCTCCTGTCTGCTTTATTATAAATGGTACAGCTAACCTGAATTTTAATGAAAATACTGACAAACACTTTCAACCATTTTCAATTTTAAAGAGAATTTAAAAACCCATAAAAAATACAGAAGTTCAAAACAAGATAGGAAATTAACATTGCTTATTATATTGCATATTGTGGTCTTCAAGATAGTTGCTGTGATTACCAGATGCAGGACTACTCCAATAGAAGCAGTTAATGTTCCTTTCGATGAACTATGATCATTAGTAGTAGAACGGTCTTAGGTATCTGTGTGTGTACACACATATGTATATATGTAACTTTTTCCTTCCTTCTTTTTTCCTTTTCCCTGTCCCATTTCTTTCCTCTTCAGCAATTTCATTCTCTTTCAGAATATGCGTTATACCTTTTGGATCTTATTTACTCTTTCAGTTTCTTACACTAGGGAGACAACATGCTGTTTACCCATATTGGTCTGTTTTATTTCACTTGTAAGTATAAACTCTAGTTGCATCATTTACCTATAAAAGCCTTTAATTGATCCATCTTTATAGCTAAGGAATACTATCTTGTATTACGATACCATATCCTAGGGCCAGGTATTAAGCTCAGCAGCACAACTGCCTGCTTGGCAAACATGAGGTCGTGAGTTCAACCCTCACTATGAAAAAGAAACAGAAAATACATTACATTGTTTTTATGCTTTTTGCAGTTGATGAGCATTTGAGTAGGTTCAAAGATCTATTACAAATTGTGCTGCTATAAAAATGGATGAATATATTTCACTGTGTTATGATGTTTGGTTTTTTTTTGAGAGAGGGTCTCACTATATTGCCCAGGCTGGAGTGCAGTGACTATTCACAGGTGCGATCCTACTACTGATCAGCATGGGAGTTTTGACCTGCTTCGTTTCTGACCCGGGCCCATTCACCCCTCCTTAGGCAACCTGGTGGTGCCCCGCTCCCGGGAGGTCCCCATATTGATGCCGAACTTAGTGCGGACACCCGATCGGCATAGTGCACTGCAGCCCAGAACTCCTGGACTCAAGCGATCCTCCCACCTCAGCCTCCCAAGTAGCTGGGACTACAGGCTCTCACCACCACGCCCGGCATGTTATGATGTTTTTAATTCTTCCAGGAAAACACCCAGTAGGCCAACAACTTGGTTGAATGGGACCTCTAGTCCTAGTTTTTGGAGGAACCTCCGCTGATTTCCAGTGCTTGCACCCATTTACATGCCTACCAATGGTGGCAAAGGATGTTTTACCCCACAGCCCCACCAGTATTTATTACTCAGTGATTTTTTGATGATAGCCATCACTTCTGGAGTGAGACAGAATCCCAGGACCTCAGGTTTTTCAATTCTTTATATGTTCCAGATGACCTTTGTCTGAGAACAGTTGGCTAGATTTTTCCCAATATGTGAGTTTTCTTTTCACTCTGTTGGTGACTTATTTTGCTGTGATTAAAAACTTTGTAATAAGATGAAATCCCAGTTGTTGATCCTTGAGGTACTTCCTATGTAGTTAGTTTCTGTTCATGAAATCCTTGTCTACTGCAATGTCTTCAAGACTTCCACCTAATTTCTCTTCTAGCAGACTTAGTGTTTCTGTTTTAACACTTAAATATTTGATTCATTTTTAGTTTAGTTTATTACATGGTGATAGACATGGTTCTAGTTTTAGTCTTCAGCATATGGGAAAAGTTTTTCAGCATCATTTATTAAAGAGACTAACTTTCTTCCACTGAACATCTTTGGCTCCTTTCTCAAAGAGTGTGGCTGAGTGTAGGTTGTGTCTGTATGTTTTCTGTCCCAATGATCAAAGTCTGTTTGCCAGTACCACGTTAATTTCATCACAGTAGCTTTGTAGTATAACTTCAAGCAGAGATTATAACGTCTCCTGCCTTGCCTTTGTAGCCCAGCATTGCCTTTGCTATTCTAGGTCTCTTTTGGTTCCAGATGAATTTTAGGAATATTTTCTCTAGACCTTTGAGGTACACTAATGGTATTTTGATCAGGATTGTATTAAACCTATATAACAGTTTTAGAAATATGGCCAATATTGGTTCTGTCTATCCATAAGCAAAGGTATCTTTCCATTTTCCAGTATCATCTTTGATCTCCGTTTTCAAAATACTGTAATTCGTAATGTATAGATATTTCACTACCTTTGTTAGAATGATTCCTAAATATTTCAAATTTTTGGATACTATTTTGAAAGGTGTTGTTTCCCTGATTTCTCTTTGAGTTTTTTTGTGTGCATGAAGTCTATTGAATTTTGAATGCTGACTTTGTATCCAGGTACATTACAGAATTTATTAAATCCAGATGTCTTTTGGTGTCTTCCAAGTAGAGTATCATGTGGTCTGCAAATAATAACTTCACTTCTTTCTTTCTTAGCCTTATCCCTTTTCTTTCTCTTGTATAATTGCTCTGGCTGTTTCCAGAACTATATTGAATAGGAGTGGTCATAGAGGACATCATTTTAGTCTTGATTTTGGATTGAAAGCTTTCTGTTTTTTTTAATTAGTACGATGTGGGCCATTAGTCTGTCATAGATGGCTTTTTATTAGATTGAGGTAAAGGTCATGTATTCTAATTTTCTGTAGGTTTTTATCATGAATGAGTGTTGGACCTTATCAAATGCTCTTTCTGCATCCATTCAGATAAGCATGTGGTATTTCTCCTTGGTTCTGTTAATGTGGTGTATATTTATTGATTTGTATCTGTTGAACTATTCCTGCATTCCTGGGATGAACCAGACTTGGTCATGGTGTGCGTGTGCAATTTCCATGATTTGTTTCTCTGACTTTGGTATCAGGGTAATAGTTGCCTCCAGGAATGAGTTAGGGAGAATTGTTTCTTTCAATTTCATTAACGAGTCTGGGGAGTACTGACATTAAACCTTCTTAATTTCTTGTAAAATTCAGCTATCAATCCATCAGGACTTGGGTTTTGTTAGAAAGTTCTTAATGTTTTCAATTTCACTAACTGATATTGAGTTATTCAGATTTTTGTACCTTCTTTTATATCCAGTTTCGGTAATTCATATGCTTCTAGGAATCTGTGCATTTCATTTTCCATCGTCTGAGAGTAAAAGATTTTTAGAGCAGGTATTAAAGATCTTCTGAATTTCCACAGGATTTGTAGTGACTTCACCCTTTTCATTTTTTTATACATGAATCTGAGTTTTTTCTTTCTTTTTGATAAGGTTGCCTAGGAGTTTGTCAATTATTTATTCTTTCAAAGAAATAACACAATTTATGAATTCTTTGTATAGTTTTCTTAGTCTCAATTATGTTACTTTTTGCTCTGATCTCTTCTATGGGCTTGACTTGCTCTTTTTCCAGCAGCTTGGGGGTACAGAATTAAGTTACTTTTGCTTTTCTGATGAGAATTGACTGCTACAAATTTCCCCCAAGGACTCCTTTCACTGCATCCCACAGGTGCCTGTATGTTGTAATTGCATTTTCACGTGATTGTAGATACTAATTTCATCAGTGACCCATTGGTTGTTCAGTAGGGTGCTATTTAATTTCCATGGGTTTATGAAGTTCTTGTGGTTTCCTTTCACAAGCATTTCCAATTTCATTGCACTGTGGTCTGATAGGATGCATGGGATAATTTCAATTGCTTTGCATTTACTTAGGCATGTTCTATGGGATAGTATATGTTCTATTATAGAGAATGTCCTGTACACAGCTTGAGGAGAACGTGCGTTCTGATGTTGGATGAAACACTTTGTGAACATCTATTAAGTCCATCTGTTCACGTTTGATTCCATGTTTATGATTATCTTTTGAAATTTTCCCCTATTAAGTATGTAGTGACCTTCATTGTGTATTGATCATTTGATTTGAAGTTTACATTGTCAGTTTTCTTTTTTTTTTTTACTTTTAGCTTATGGATTTGTTATGGTTGGTACAATGTGTCAACTTCAGTTTAGAAATTTAACCAAGAGACAAAGCAGGGAGCCAGGATTCTGGAGGGCACAGGGGTATTAGGCTGCTGACAATATAAGAGAGAAGAGACTTGTTCCCCTTCCCACTTTTGCTCTAGCTGCTGCCTTGAAATGTTGCTCCAGTGCCATGCTACCTTGCCTTGGAGCCAATCAATTATGGACTGAAATCTCCACAAACTGTGAGCTACATAAACCTTTCCTTCAGGTGGAGTGTCAGATATTTTGTGCCAGCAATGAGAGGAAATTAACCAAGACAATTTCCATTTGAGTGAAATGTGTTTCTTGATACAGCACATTGTTGGATTTTTGTTTCTTGATCCACTCTGCGCATTTGTTATCTTTTCATTGGTGAATTAAGGCCATTTACATTAATGGTTATAACTGGTATGTATTGGCTTATATTTGTCATGTTACCTTACCATTGTTGGTTATCTACTTTTTTCCTGTTTAATTGCTTACCTACAGGGTGATTTTTTTCTGTTGTTTTTCTTGGATTTATGGTCATTTAGATCTTTTTGTAGGCTACCTTTTACCACTCCTTTATTGTTGGTTTGGTGGTCATAAATTTCTTCAGCTGTTTTTTTATTGTACAAGTATCTTATTTCTCAGTTTTCAGACAGTTTGACATGGTATATCAATCAGGGTTGGAAGTTGTTTTCTTTCAGGGCTTGAAATACTTCACTCCAAGCTCTTCTAGACTTGATGGTTTGTGCTGAGGAGCCTACTATGACACTGATTTCCTTGGTAGATGATCTATTTCTCTAACAGCTTTTAATAGTGTGTTCTTGCACTGAATTTGTGGGATCCTGATTATTTTATGTCTGGATATAGGTTTATTTTGGCTATGGCTAATTGAAGTTCTATATGCCCCACTTATCTGATTATAAGATTCTTTTCCCATGCTTGGGAAATTTTCTGCTACTATGTCTGTAAATTCCTTTATTACATTTGTGTTGACTTCTGTGTTTTTGTTAATATCTACAAGTCTTACTGTTTTTTTTTTACATCATCTTGCATCTGAATTGTTATTTCCTGGTTTTTGTTATTTTTAAGTTTTCATTTTGTGATTGCTAGATGCAATACTGTCTTCAAGGTCTGAAAGCCACAGTTTTGCTAGTTTTTCAATGGAATTTTGAATTTCCTGGGTATCTCATTATATCTGTTTCAATGCATTCTAATTCTTTCACATATTGTTCTTCCAAGGTTTCTATCATTTTCCCATGCTCGTCTATGTTTTTGTCTTCTTTAGGTATGGTCAAAAGTCTTTATTTATGGTTATTTCTTTTTAAATCTGAGATTATTTCTGATTTGATTTCCTCTACAGCCTCATGTAGTTGTTTTTACTTTAGTTACTACCATTCCAGGAATTTCAGGTGACTTCCAGTTCTACACTGGTATCACCTAGACCTCAACCATTTTTGTATTTCTCAAAATGTTTTGAGAGTTATACTCCAATTTGAAAATCTAAATGAGACTGTGTTAAGAGCTTGTTCCTTGACATTAACGTACTAAAAGCATGTTGGAATGTAATGGGAAAAAATGAAACATAAGTGGGAAAAAAATGAAAGATCAAAAAAGTGATCAAAATAGATGACCAAGCTAGGCAAGGCAGCATACATCTGTAATCCTAGTGCTTAGAAGGCAGAAACAGGAGGACTGCTGGGAATTTGAGGCAAGCCTGAGCTATATAGTGAGATCCTGTCTCCAACCAACCAATCAACCAAAACAAAAAACAGATGACCAATAGTTAGGCAAGACAGCACACTCCTCTAACAACACAAGATGAGGCAGATGGAACACAGAGGCCATGAGATCTTACCTCAAAAGAAAAAAAAGAAACAGTAAATAAAATTTTAAAAAATGACCCAAATGAAGACTTTTTACTGTAAGGTGATTTTAACAGACAAATTTATGCTTAAAAATAATGAATCATGCTAGTTATTGTTAAATGAAAAAGGAAGTTTGTATTATAGAATAAATGACAATTCTCTCTTTTTTAAGACAAGTCTATTTAAGTATAGGCCGGCTACTTAGTATAGGCTGGACTTAAACTTACTATTATGTAGCATACACTAGTCTTTTTTTTCTTTTTGTCTTTTTCCTTTTTATCGGTACCGGGGATCGAACTCACGACTGCCTGCTTGCAAGGCAGGCGCTTATGCCGCTGAGCTAAATCTCCAGCCCCCTCTACACTAGTCTTGAAATTGCAGATATCTTCTTGTCAGCCTCTCAAGTGCTAGGATTACAGGTTTGCACACCTGGCTAAATGATAAAAATTTTAGAAGCTGCATTGAAGATTATCTCATTAAAGCAAAAGAAAAAAAATTCATCCTCCGAGAGGCTGAGGCAAGAGGATCACAAGTTTGAGCTCAGCCTGGATAATTTCGTGATTTAATGGGAACTTGTCTCTCTATGTATACTTCCAATCTCTAAATTTTCTATAGAGATTATGTATTACTTTCAAAATAATCTTTTTTGTTTGTTTGTTTACTGTTTTATTCTTTGAGATATGCTCTCGCTATTTAGTCCAGGTTGGACTTGAACTCACTGTGCGGCCCAGGCTGAGCTGAACTCATAGTGATCTTTGTGTTTCAGTCTCCTGAGTGCTGGGATTACAAGTGTGCCACTATGCCCAGCAAAATAATCATTTTAATAGTTTTAACACAAAAAAGCAATGTGATGTCATTAACTGAAACAGATGCGGAATCATTTGTACCAGGTAATAATTTACAAGTTATATACATAATGTTTATATAGGCAGGGAAAATGTCCAGAGTGATCTAACAAAACTGCAGTACACACGAAGAAGGTATGATTTTACAATTTTATATTTTATAATTTTCACTTTTTGATTTCTCCCCCTACTGAGAATGTATTGCTTTTGTGATTTATCATTCTACACTTGATCTTAGCCAAAAGGCCGAGAAGCCATTGATTTATCATTCTAAAGCAACAAAAATAAATAAAGCAAAATACATTTCGTATCCTACACTGGGGAACCACTCAGACTGCTCCAAAGCTTAGCGGCATGTGAACAGTGCGACAGTGATGTAACCATGACTTAGCACAGATAAACCCACATAGGCTGGTTACAGCACTGTGTAAGAATGTAAGCATGAGATAACAGCCGTGCAAAAATTCTATGATGAAGATGAAGGCTGCTCTTTTGCTCTGCTCCATGCTACCTGCTACTGTTGCTGGCTTATACACATGTGTTCTACCTGGGGACCTCACCTGCAAACATTTCTCTTGGACCCACTAAACAGGCCAATGTCTACTTTTTAAGCCTTGCTGTGCAGTTCAGCCTGGCCTTCAACTCACATTGTAGGGCAGGCTGGCCTCAAACTCACAGCAATCCTACTGCCTCAGCCTCTCAGGTGCTAGGATTAAAAGTGTGTCACCATGCCCAGAAAAATTTTACGAAATCTTGAAAATGAAGATAATTTGTATCAATTTCTAAGATGTGAAAATGTACCCAATTGTGGTGGATTAATTAATGGTCAACTTGTAACACCCAGTTGCACTGAATCAACAGGGTTCTAGGTATGGAAGGGCCATCTGAGGACTGTAATCTATAGCATAAAAAGAAAACTTCAGGGGAAGACTGTGCTATTGATTCTCCTGGAGAAACTTGTCACATAGGTTTTCCTGATATGAACCTCAGCAGAGCTCAGGTCCTTGCTGTCACTGAGGATGGCTATGGTTCTTTTCAGGGGAGCTCTGGTCTTTACCTTTATTCCTCACTCCAGTTCAGATCCCTCAGCCAGGTAACAAAGTTCCTTCATCCCACTGGCACAGACTTTCTAGTTTCCACCACTGACTTCTGGGCCTTCCCAGTGCGATTCGCAAAACAGACTTCCATGAGACATTGTCATGAGCTCTGTGCTTCCAGTTGGATTTGTAGGGGCACTGTCATGGACGCTAGGTCCTCAGCTGGACTTGTGCAGGACACTGTCATGGGACCCAGCTGGATTCTTTAAGTCTCTAGTATGCGTTCTAGATTGCTTGCACTCTTCTGCATTTGACATTTTGGGTGACTATTATAATTTATCCCCTTGTAAACTCTGACTACAGTATCAACCATAAATGAAAAAGTGTTCTACATACGCAATCTCTTCTTTCTAATATCAAGTAGTTTTTCTTCTAATTCCCAAGATTCCTGTTATTAAAATAAAAACATTTTAAAACATGAGATACAATAAAAACATTAAAGTTGTATTACTTAAATCACTGAGTTTCATCTATTAGTGTTTCTAAAGCTCCAATTTTCAATTTCCCCACCACAGAAAATTAAAACAGTAGTTTAAATTTTAAACAGGATTAACCCTTTTGAAATTTTATTTTAGTTTTTCTTGTTCTCCTTTTTTAAAATTTTCTTTTTCTCCCTGAAATAAAATGGATTTGGGGGAAATAAATAAATAAATTTTAAACGGATAATTTGCAACATTAGTTGAAGATAAGGGTTTTGGAAAAAAAGGAGTGAACTTTAAAGATAGTGAATTCCAGCCATGCTAGTTCCTTTGGGTAGTCTTACTTAATCATATCTAATACCACCTCAAAAAGAAGTTGGCACAGAAATCCTAATAATGCAGAGTTAGTCCAATGTGCAAATTTACCTGTTGTAATTTCATTACTGATTTATTTAGCTTCAATATTTCTTTCATGGTATTCATGAGCACACTGAAAAGGAAACAAAAAATGATTACCTTAAATAATAAATCTACCTCATGAAGCAGAAATTAATTAGCATATGTTTATTTTCATTAAATTCCTGTACTCTAAAACCACCATGATCCTTCCAGTCATGTGGTTTTTTTTTTTTTTTTTTTGTTTTGTTACTGGGGATCAAACTCACAACCTTGCTATTGCCAAGCAGTCACTTTTTTTTTTGGTCTTTTTTCTTTTTATCAGTACCGAGGATCGAACTCACGACTGCCTGTTTGCAAGGCAGGCACTTATGCCGTTGAGCTAAATCCCCAACCCTTAAGCAGTCACTTATGCTGCTGAGCTAAATCCTAGGCTTCTCAGTCAACTGTTTGTTTGTCTTTTTTGAGGCAGGGCCTCTCTATGCAGTTCAGGCTGGACTTAAGCTCACTTTGTAGCCCAGGCTGGTCTCGACCTTGCAAGATTCTCCTGCCTTAGCCTCCTGAGTGCTGGGATTACAGGCGCGAACCACCATGCCCTGCTTCAGTCAGCTGTTAATCCCCCTCTCAACCAACAAATGCTGAGGTTCTAGCAGCCTCAAGGCTCTTTTTTTTTTTTTTCCAGTATTGTGGAGCAAACATGATCTCATGTTTGCTAGGCAGGTGCTTGTGCTGCTGAGCTAAAACCTCCAGCCCAGGCTCATGGCCTTCTGATCCTTATGAAAAAGTGGTCATGTTAGATCTCCACTCTAATGCAAAAATAAAATAACATAAAATAAAATAAAATAAAAATCCCTTGTGCTCTTTAACAGGAAGTCATTATTTAATAAGATCCAAAAAGTCTGATATGTTAAACTTTTATTAAAATTAGAAGTATATTTCTCTAGAAAAAATTTTGATCACAGACAAAAAGGAATATTGAATTAAAGAATATCGAACTATTTCTAAAAATTTCATATCTAGGAAGACAAAAGCCTAATAACTTGCTCATAAATTGCTTTTTAAAAAGATTTTGTGAGCCAGATGTGGTGATTCATGCCTGTAAACTAGTACTAGTAGGCTGAGGCAGGAAGACCACCCCGAGGAGTTCAAGGCCAGCCTGGAGTACAAAGTAAGACTCTGTCTCAAAAAGACAAAAAATGATTTTGTTTTTGCAGTAGTTTTCAGCTCACTGCTGAAATGTAGGCAGAGGTACTGACATTTCTCACATGCCCTCTGCCCTTTCATGTTAGCATAGCCTTCCACTGACACCATTCTCCACTAGAGCAGCACATTTGTTACAATTACTGAATCTACACTGACACTTTGTGTCATTCAGAGGGTCACTGGATTTTGCTAAACACCTGTCCACCATCACAGAGTCACATATAATAGTTTCAGTGTGTCCCCAAAATTTATGTGTTAGAAACTTCATTCTCAATCCTCTTAACAGAATTTGGAGGTGTGCCTTTGAGAGTCCAACAACCATTCATGATAAAAATTCTACAGAAAATTGGAATAGATGGTCTTTATCTTAATCTGATAGGAACCATCTATGATAAACCAACAGTCAGCATCATACTAAATGGACAAAAACTGAAAGCTTTCAAGCTAAAATAAGGAACAAGACAAGGATCTCCACTATCACCACTTATTCAGTATAGTTTAAATATTAGCCAGAACAATTAGATAAGATAAAGAAATAAAAGGAATAAACATAGGAAAGGAAAAAGTTACTTGTTATTTGCAGATGACATGATACTCTACATAGAAGATCCAAAAACTCCGTCAAAGAACTTCTAGATTTAATAACCAAATTATGTAGAATAGCAGGATACAAAATCATCACTCAAAAACCAGTAGCATTCCTATATACAAATAACAAGCTCCTTAAGACTGAAATTAGGGAAATAACACCCTTTTAGAATAGGATTCAAAAAAATGAAATACCTAGGACTCACTCTAACAATGGAAGTAAAAGACTTTTACATTGAAAACTATAGTACACTGAAAAGGGAGACAGAAGAGGATATCAGAAAATGGAAAGATATACCTTATTCTTGAGTAGGAAGAATCAACATAGTGAAAATGGCCATACAGGCAAAATTGTCATATGGAATTAATGCAATCCCAATCAAAATACCATACCATATCCCACGGCAGTAAAGAAAAAAATCCTAAAATCCATACAGAACCTCAAAAGATCCAGAACAGCAAAAGCAATTCTGGACTAGGCAAGAGACATTACTTGAAATTATACTACAAAGCTACTATGATAAAACCAGCATGGTACTGACAAATAAAATAGTGCAATAGGACCAGGGATTTCGCTCAGCAACACAAACGCCTGCCTGTGCAAAGTTGTGAGTTTGATCTCTGGTTTCAAAAAAAAACAAAACACACACACACACACACACACACACACAAACACAGTATAATAGTGCAACAAATAAAATAGTGCAGAAACAACTCCAAATACACTCAGCCACCTTATCTTTTTATAAGTTTTAAAAAATTTATTTATTTTAAAGAGGAAGACAGAATAAAACCAATCAAAACAAACCAGTGCAAGAGATATAGGCCTAAAAACATTATGAAACCAACAACAGTTACCATAATGCCTCTTGATATCTTTAAAACAGCTGCAGATAACTTTAGACATAGTAAAAATCAAATAGAATGAAACAGAATAGAAATAAAAACAAGACAATGAATGCAAGAAAGGACTTCAAACTAAGCCAATAGTAAATCCAAAATTGCTACCATAATACATCTTGCTATCATTGAAACAGCTGTTCCTGCCATCAGATTTGACATAATCAAACAAAAGAGAATAAAACCAAACCCCGAAAAACAATGGAAATGACATAGGACTTCCAAAACAAGACCCCAGGGACTCAGCATGGCTGCACCCTCAGAAAGAGATCCCACCTAGATACCACACTGCATACCCTATTCTCTGAACCCATGATCAGACCAGACCACTGGTCCTAGACCTACAAGGTCAGTGAAACAGCAACGCCCAGGCATCCAATTGCATTTCACCTCTACAGCAATTATCACAGCCTGTGTTTCTCTGGACAAGCCAGTCCCTCAGGGCAAAGGTAGGGGCTGTGGGAAGGTACTTGTTGTCTGCCAGCCAGTGTGCTGGAAGGGGGTGGGGTCTGGCTGTTCCAGTCTGGTGGAGCTCCGCGCACAGCACTGCTTCCCAGACTGGGTTTGCTTCCTGATGTGTCCTTTGTCCCCTCTACGCCTGGTCCATCAATGGCACTGACTCACAGGAAGAGGCCAGGGTCTGGTTACTCCAGTCTGGCAGGGCTCCATACATGGCGCTGTTTCCCGGACTGGGTTTGCTCGCTGATGTGTCCTTTGTCCCCTCTACGCCTGGTCCATCAATGGCACTGACTCACAGGAAGAGGCCAGGGTCTGGTTACTCCAGTCTGGCAGGGCTCCGTGCATGGCGCTGTCTCCTGGACTGGGTTTGCTGGCTGATGTGTCAGCCACCTTATCTTTGACAAAGCAACCAAACCCACTAGAAGAAAAATAGCCTCTCTAATAAATGGTACTGGAAAAGCTGGCTTTTCACATGCAGAAGATTAAAATTAGACTCACATATTACACAGTGCACTAAAGTAAAATGGAAATGGATCTAAGATCTAAATGTTGAAATAGAAATACTCAAACTGCTGGAAGATAGAATGGGTAGAACTCTTGAAGATATTGGTATAGACTAAGACTTCATGGATGAAACCCCAATCACACAGGAACTATTACAAAGAGTCAACATTTGGGATCTCATTTACTATAAGAAACACCAAGCTTGGGAGTGTAGACTGGGTAACATGGCAAAATAAAAACACTGAGTTTGGGAATGTAGACTGATGTAACAACTGTGCAAATCAGTGTGGAGATTGTTCAAAAACTGAAAGCAGAGTTTCCATTCAACCCAATTATTTCCCTTCTTGGTATCTTCCCAAAAGAATTAAAACCATCACACCACAGTGATGTATGCATACCCATGTTTATAGCAGCACAGTTTCAAATAGCCAGATCTTGGAAACACTCAAATTTCCATCGACTGATAAATGGATAGAGATGTGGGCTTTTTTATACAATGGAGTACTACTCTGCCATAAAGAAGAGCTTGAGACACTTTTAAATGGACGTACCTTCAGACCATACTCTTATGGGACATAAATTGGATAGACATGTTCAAATTTGCATGATTTTTCTGGTGTGAGAAGCCAAACACGTATATAATGACCAAAATGGCCAGGTGTGGTGGTACACACCTACACTCCCAGCATTAGGCGGCTGAGGAAGAATGCTGTAAGTTTGAGGTCAGCCAAAGCTATAAAGTGAGTTCAAAGCCAGCCTGAATTGCATAGTGAAACCCAGTTTCTGAAAGAAAAAAAAAAGTATATATCCAAAATATATAATGGATATTGGGAAATGAGAAGAGAACGTTCAAATACGAAGGAAAGACAAGGGGAGTGAGGGTTAAGGGGAAAGGAAGGAAGGGACAAGAAAAAGAGAACAGGATAAAAACAGAAACGAAACTTTTGTAATTAAGGAAGCGAATAGGGATTGAGGGCAGGGAGATGGGTAAACAGGAAGATATATCATGTATAGGTATAAATTCCCTATGGTGAATGTTATCATTATGTATATCTTCAGTGTACCAGTGGGGCACCATGGCGCACACCTGTAATTCCAGCACTTAGGAGGCTGAGGCAGGAGGCTCACTGCAAGTCTGAGGCCAGTCTGGGCTTTACAGCAAGTTCAAGGCTTACCCAGACTACATGGTGAAACCCTGTCTCAAATAACCAAAAAAAAAAAAAAAGTACAGTGATAGAAAAAACATTTTATCTTTTGTATTCTTCAGATGAAGGTGACTGGTAGTGATAATCATTTTTTAAAAAATCATAAAATGAAATTAGTACATAGATACCCCCCACCATTCCCATCCTTTACAAATTCAGAGGAAAAGTGTACCTGCTCTCGGTGTTAATTTTTTCCAGGTCGTTTTTAAGTGCGGCTGAAAGTTGCATCCTGTAAGGGAAAGGCTCATATTATGAAAGGTAACATATTATACATTAAAAGTCATTCCTAACTACAAGTTAAAGATTGATTTCCCTTAAAAGATACATAAAATGTAGGCTGGTTTAAAAAAAACACACTTGCACAGGTTGTGCAATGAGACTGAGAATGAAATCAGGAAACATGAAGGAACTCCTAGATGGATGGGGCTGCATCACATGGCTGTGCGTGGCCTGTCCAAAGCTCTGCAGACTGATCCCACACTTAGCTTGAAGCAGTCTCCACAGGCAGGGCCAGGACAATGCTGAGAACTACAGAGACCAGCGTGGCTAAAAAAAGAGGAGTCAGGGAACACGTGGCCATTTGGACTGGAAACTAAGACATGCTACTGTTCTTTACCCTCTACCTCAAGGAGCTAAGAAACAGGTAATAATAAAAGGTAAATGAGAGAGGCTGGGGATTTAGCTCAGTGGCATAAGTGCCTGCCTTGCAAGCAGGCAGTCGTGAGTTCGATCCCCGGGACCGATTAAAAAAAAAAAAAGTAAATGAGGCCTGAAATACAGCTCAGTGGCAAAGTATCATTCCAAGTACCACACAAACAATAAATCAAAAGGCAACAAAGCAGTAGTAGAGTTATCTCTTCCTTTCTTTTAACTAAAAAAAAAAAAAAAAAAAAACTTTACTTTTTAATTAAATCTACAAAGAAACTGATTCAGGAATGCCAGAAACAGAAAGAAAACTATAATAAAAGACATTTAATCGAGATTATTCAATCAAATTAAAAGTTTATAACCTACTGTGTTTGTCTTAATATACTCCTGAAACATAAGGATGAGGACATAGTATAAGAAAATGTTATCACTCGGTGATTCTGTCATTGTTCAAATGTCGGAGTGGACATAAGCTGAGATGGCTATGTCACTGCATGATGTGATACTACGGCACTGCTCTTTTCTAGGTAGCTTGTTGTCACAGTACATCACTGTAGCTCTGTACCAGCACAGACCAGGATAGATGAATTGAAAAATATAAATGTAAGACCAATAATTGGAACTATTTAATCTGGACGCTTCAGTATATCTAGGTAGTCCCAGCTACTTAGGACTGAGGTAGGAGAATCCCTACAACCCAGGAGTTTGAGGTCAGCCTGGGAACATAGGGAGTCTACATCTCATGGGGAAAAAAAGCAATAATATTTTAAAAACTAAAAAGCCTGATGACAATTCTGTTTCTGGTTTATTACTATAATAAAGAAATCTGTGTAATCTTTTCAACGAACAAATTAGATTTATTTATACACTTCTACTGTCTCAAAAGTTTCCTTACTAACACTACCCTATTTAACTTTTTCCAAGGAAAATATTAAGGAATAATGTAAATTTTCTCTCAAGGTTCAATTTTGTTTCCCCAGACAGGATCTCACTACAGTTCAAGCTGGTCTTGAATGTGTGATTCTCCTGCCTCGGCCTCGTGAGTACTGGTGTTACAGGTGTGCAGCACCATGCCTGCCTCAGAAATTCAATTTTTTGTGACTATTATCTAATCATTATTTCACTTGACTAATTCATTTACTCCAGTTAAAAGAGTCTCTCTACCTTACCCTCACATGCTTTTTACATTGTTCACATGCTTATACCCAAAATGTAAGTTACCTGCTCAATGCAAGACTTTTCATATCAAATGCAATTTTCACCTCTTCAATTTCATTTTCCAGGTCTTTAACTTTACTATTAAAGAAACATAAAAGAATTTCAGCAACATCAGAAAAAGTTACTATTGAAATAAATGTATGAAGAAAAGCTTTGAAAAGAGTAAAATGCCTCTATCTGAAGAGAAGAATTCTATAGACTTGCCATATCAACACAGTTACAGTTCTGGCAAACTACTTTTGGGGGGAGGCATACTGGGAATGAATCCAGAGTCTTCATACTGACCCACATTCCCAGCCTTATTTTATTTTTGAGACAGGGAAGTTGTTAAATTGCCAAGCTGGAGTCAAACTTGGCAATCCTCCTGCCTCAGCCTCCTGCAGTGCCAGGATTATAGGCAAAACTGATGCTTTCTTCTTTTTAAAATAGAATAAAGTTTTAACATTTTCATTATATTATTACATCATAGTGATTAAGCTTTCCTAAAAACGGTTGCCTTCCGAGCTTTTCTCAGTATCTTCAAAGAGGATGCCACAGGATATAATATGCTCGTCATCTATATGAAAATCTCCATACAACAACCTCCCTATATGTTCATGAAAATTATTTAGAAAAATAAAGGGAAGGAAAAGGTAATCAGTGTTATAACAGGAATAACATGATTAAATCTTAGTAAAAACCACAAACAAAACTTTAAAATATGACATACGCTTCCATTTGTTTTTCTTGTATGATTTGATCTGGAGTTTGTTCTTCATCTACAAATAAATAATTTTTTGAAATCAGTACATTTTAGAACAGCACTATTCAAAAGGAATATAAATGTACACCACAAATACAAAAGGTAATATTGTGTATGTCAGCTTATATAATACAAAAGAGAAACATGTGAATTAATTTTGATATACTTATTTAGCTCAGTAAGTCCCCATTATTATTTAATATATGATCAACATAAAATTACTAATGATGTATTCCACATTTCCTTCTTCTATGTGTATTTTGTATTTACAGCTTGTCTAAATGAAGAGCATTTCCTTCTTTTTTTCCAAATCCATTTGATTCCAAGGATAAAAAGAAAGGAAAAAAAAAGAAAACTGTAACAAAGTCGAGTGTGATGGCACTTGCTTATAATCCCAGCACTTGGAAGCCTGAGGCAGCAGGATTGTTGCAAGTTCCAGACCAGCCTAGGCTACAAAGTGAGCTCTAGACCAGGCTGAACTGCACAGTGAGACCCTACAAAGGGGCTGGGGGATAACCATGTTTCAAGTTTTAATAGCCATACAGAACTACTGGGTACCAAAGTTTTTATGGGGAGGGCACTGAGGATTGAACCCAGGGCCTCACACACGCTAAGCAAATGTTCTACCACTGAGCTATATATCCTCAGCCTGTGACAACCATTTTAGGATGACAGAAAATAGCTGGGTGTGGTGCAGCATTATAATTCCTATAATTCCACCATCTAGGTGGCTGAAGCAGGTATATTTTGATAAATTTGAGGCCAGCATAGGCTACAGAGTAAGTTCAAGGTCAGTCTGAACCACATAGGGAGACCCTGTCTCAAAACAGAGAAAGTTCCCAAAATGACAGAAAATGAAACGGAGTAAAAAACCTAGTAAGACATTTAATGTCAAGAAGCCAATTACAAAAAAAAAAGCCAATTACAGGCTTGTTAGCCTATAGTTGGCAATAAGCAATTAGAAATAAAATTTTAAAATTATAAAAACTGGCATGTAAAACCATAAGGGTAATTTTTTAAAAAGTATGTTTCTCTACACTGAACCCTACTAACTACTGAAATGGGTAGATATACTATGCACACATGTCATGAGAATCCATACTGCTAATATACACAGCGGTCTTCCTCATATCAGGACACAGATTCCAAATAAAACCTAGTCAAAATACGTCTGTGGGACACAGAAAAAAAAAAAAAAGTCCAGTACTTTGTATGGTAATGGAAATGTTTCATATCTACACTGCCCAATAAGGTACCTAGTAACTCCCAGCATTCTGGGAGGCTGAGTGAGAAGAATCACAAATTAAGAGCCCAGCCAGGGTAACTTGGTTACTTAGTGAGATCCTGTGTCAAATTACAAAATAAAAATACACGGCTAGGGATATAGCTCTGTGTAGGTAGGGATGTAGCCTTGGCTTTGACCAAGGGTACCACAAAAAAAGCAGGTATAAGGTAAGGTGTTAAACCATCTCAGAGCAACCACTCCCACCATTCGATCAGGCCATCCTTCCTTCCTCACAGCTAAGATAATTACCCTACATTTTTTTCAGTGTTTTGCTACACTACAATATAGATAGATGTTTTCTAAAGTTGATTTTCTTTCCCATAGGATACTGTTCATTATCAAACTCACATAAGCTTATTTGAAAATGAAACTACTTACTTGCATCAATCATCGATTTATATTCTAAGAGTTGTTGCTTTATCTGTGCTCTCAGCCTGTAAATAGAACATAATGTCATATAGCTATAGAGGTATTATCATCATACAACGAACTAATTTTTGGTTTCGCAAGCTGACATAATGCAATGGGCATAAATAATGAAAACTAGCATAAAGTCTTCTAGTCAAGTCTCATTTCATTAAAGAACTCATTTTAGAAGGACACAAAGTCCAGGTGTGGTGGCGCACCCCTGCAATTCCAACAATGTGGAGGCTGAGACAGATATATTATTTCCAGTTTGAGGCCAGCCTGGGCTAGAGTGCGTTGGAGGCCAGCCTGAATTGCAAAACAAGAACCTGTCTTGAGGAAAAAAAAAAAAAAAAAGCACAAAGAACGTTCTTATTATCAGAGGAAGACACAAAATGGAACACAGTGGGAAAACGTCATGTAGTCTGTCTTGTAGTTCAAGGCTAGCCCAGGCTAGCCTGAACTCCCCATTGTCCTGCCTCATCCTACAGGAAGGAATGTTTACAGATGTTTGTTTATTAGCCAAGACCTTTTAAAACGACAAAACTAAAAATACAATCACAATGCTTTTAAAAAGTTCCCTTACTATGATTTAGAAAAAAAGTCTGCAAAAAGATTTTTTTTCCTGTAAAGGTCCAGCTGTCAAATAGTTTAGGCTCTGGGCCTCTGACATTCTAATTACTCAGCTCTGCTCTGCTGTTGTAGCAGGAAAGCTGTGCTCCAACATGGACACCGACAGTTATAGTCATATAATTTGTGTTGTGAAATCTTGTGACACACCCCCCCCCCCGCCTCACTCGCCCATCATTTAAACAATGAAAAGTACTCTGAGTGGCCCACAAAACAGTCATAAGGCGGCTTTGGCTCGGGGTCTGGGTCAACCCACTGGTTTAGAAGACTAATGCTCCCACCGCTTGCTTAGTGCAAAAACAAAACCTTCGAGGGTTCTGGGCAGGCAGCTGGGGAAACAACCTGAGCAGCAGCGCTAGGCGGCCCTCGCTGCGCGGCTCCCCGGCGCCGGCTCCCAGCGGCGGCCCGCCCGCCCCTCCACAGTCCGCGGAGCAGGAGTCTGGCGAGTCGTCCGCCTGCGGCTCCATCGCTGGCCTGGCTGCGTCAAGAGATAAGCAAGGTCAGTAGGAGGATGCCCGAAAGACGCCACTTTTCCCGCCACAGGATCGCCGCCAGGAAGTAGCCCGCGTGGCCCGCCCCTTCCGCCCTCGGCCACGCCCCTTCCTCCCTGCTCCAATCACCCGAGTTGTTTGCTTTCTGGCCTTTCCTTTGCTCCGGCAGGATAGATTGTGGGCCTCTAGTAAACTGGTGCAGCGCAGTGCTTAGCATGGGTTGGGTTGCTCAGCATCAAAACAAAACTTTGCCCCCTAGGAAAAACAAAACAAAACGCCGAGCTTTAACGCCTGTTACAGCCTGTTGGGGGAAACTCCGACCTAAATGGCTATGAAGGAGAGCCAGGCCCGGCTTGTTGATCTCCCTCTGTTGGTTTAGCGGAAAAAACGCGAAGCCAGAGCTCAGGTGTCCCTGCGGACAAGTGAGAAGCTGAACCGGCGTCGGAGCCGCGCGCCGCTTCTGAGGCCGGGGCGCCCCCACGTGTCTGTCTGGTGACGCCGCAGATCACAAGCGAGCCGCAGGCGGAAGTGAAGAAAATGCTAGATATGCAAATACCTGAACGAAGTTTTTTATTCTAGTCCTTCCTGTAAAGACCACTCTGTCCTCCATGAGCACAGCGCCTGGGAATTCTTGCAACATGAGGGGCCTGGATTCTTTACGGCAGATTCCGAAACCAAGCTGCGCACCCAATGCTGATTATCAAAGTTGAGTACCCTCTCTGGATCACACTTAAAATTCAGGACACAGTAGGATACAAGATAGACGCTAAGTCGGATATTCTTGAAATACTTTGTTTTCTCTCAGTTTTGTTTTATAAAAACGAGATCTTGGATTGGGGATTTAGCTCAGCTGCATAAACGCCTGCCTGGCAAGCGATTCCCGGTACCAAAAACAAACAAACAAACAAACCCGTCTTTTTCACTTAACCACTTACCTTAACTGCCTTCCACCACCTCACCTCAGCTTCAGTCTTGTAGGACAACTAGACTAGCCCTCAGTCCTTCAAAAAATAAATTGGGGAATTACAAATAAGTGGACAAGCCTTCAAGACAAAATGGTAAGACAGAAAGTTCAGTCTTCAAAAACTATGTGATCAGCAGAGATATCAAGAAGCCAGAGCCCAAAATAACCCAGGATTTTAAAAATCAAACCCACTGGGGCAGGGATGCGATCTGTCCTGCTCCAAAATCCAGTAAGAACTTAGCCAGGTGATGAGGGTGCATATTCCAAGTGGTGAGAGACACATGTAGAAGTTACTAAATTGACCTGTAGTTATTTTACTTTATACCTAGTAAGAATCACACAAGTGTCCACCAACCAGATTAGGGACAAAAACAATGCAATGGTTGTCTGACCTAGGACTGCATAGGAATTATGGGGGTGGGGTTAGTTCATATTTCTGGGGAGCCAGGTTTGTTGGTGCATGCCTATAATCCCTGCATGGGGGAGGGGGACTAAGGTCGGAGGATTGCATTGACTTTGAGGGCAGCCTAGACTACAGAGCAAGACCTTGTCTCAAAAATAAATAACATTTTTCTAGGTGCCTCTAAAATGCTGATTTGTGTTTCAAGTCTATTTGATTTTAAAGAGAAAAAAATAAATTTAAAAACAGTAATGAAGGTAACAGTGGTATATACAATGCATACTATTGTCTTCATGATTTGTACTTCTGAAAAGTTCTCAGATAAATTTGCTGTTGCTGATTTGAAACAGAACTTTGATAACCCAAGTAATGGATCACAGTACTTAGACAAAAAAAACCAAACACACAGAGTCTGTAGTAAACCAGCCTATAGAGATAGGAAGCTATTTAGAATATTCTGTAATAAATATAGAAGAGGTTGCAAAACACAACGAGATAAGTGAATAAGGAAAATATCATTAATAGAGGGTTAGGGTTATATAGCTGGGAGTTACAGTTGTAACTAGACAGCCAAGGTTGGTCCATCAGTAATGCAATGGTGTGATAGGTATACATCGTGTAGGTTACTTGTGTTCTTGCCAAGATGCACAGTCTGAACTTTAAGGAAATTATGAGACAAGAAATTTAAAAGAGGGACACTGTATCACCTCAGACAACAGACCAGGACAACATGTCCCTGTGCTGGAAAACAAAATACAGGGCAGTTGTTCATACAGGAAAACCAATACACTTTGACTAAACCTTGGGTTGAAAAAAGAAAACCCTGAACAAAACCCTCCAAAACAAAAACAAATAAATGAAGAGAAAGAAGGCCCTAAGATATGTTTGTAATGATTGAATAAATTAGATTACATGTAGTAGCTTTTTAAGGAATGACCTTAATTCTTGGAGATGCATGTCAAAATATTTTAAGGTTAAATCACCTTGACTCCTGAAACTTACATTCAAGTAACTCTGGGAAAAATAAAAAATGGATAAGCATACACAAATATGTATATAATCGCCCCCCATATACAACATACTTTGTCTGTATATACACATATCTGTAGTTTAAGATTCATCAAGACAGGTGTGGTGGTATACACTTTAATCCCAGCACTCAGGAGGCTGTGGCAAGAGGATTGCTGTGAGTTTGAGGCCAGCCTGAGCTACAAGTTCAAGGCAGCTTATAGTTATATAGTTACAACTATAATAGTTATATCACGAGGCCTTGTTTCAGTAACAACAAAAAAAATCTCTAAATTAGCAGAACTCTGTTTGCTACGAAAAAATAAAATCCCTTCTGTCCAGAAAGCAATCAAATGGTTTCCCATAAATAAAATCAGGAAGTTTCAAAAAGATACCTTTTTATAGGACTGAGACCCAGTGTTTTGTTTTGTTTGTGAGTCGGGGTTTCAATGTGTAGTTCTCAAGTGGTCTTAGAACTTGGAGTAATCCTGCCTCAACCTCATGAAGCCTGGGATTACATGCATACACCACTACACATGACTTCCAGTAAAGTTTAAAACTAACATTAAGATAACTGGCAAAAAAAATTCAGGAAAAAAAGAAAAAGATACAGTCCTAGCTCAGTTCTCTTGGGGAACTGGTTTCAGGTCTCCTTTCTGGTGACAGCAAAAGCTACGGATGCTTAAGTTCTTATATAAAAGGCATAGTATTTGCATATAGCCTGTATGCATCCTTCTAGTACCTTATACAATGTAAATATTATGCAAATAGTTATATTGTATTTTTAAAAGGAATATCACAAGAAACAATTCTGACATGTTTAGTACACATGTAATTTTTCTTTCTTTTGTTTGAGATAGGGTCTCACTATGTAGCTCAGGCTGGTCTTGAACTCACTATGGAACCACGGCTAACTTTGAACTTGTGATCCTCCTGCCTCAGCCTCTTGAGACCTGGCATTACAAGAGTGCACTATGAGACCTGGTGTCCAATGTCACACTTTTTTTTTTGGTGCCAGAGATCGAACTCATGACCTCGTGCTTGCCAGGGAGGTGCTTTTGCTGCTGAATTAAGTCCCCAGACCTCCAATGCCATATTAAATTGGAGAAAACTGAAAGCTTTTCCTCTAAAATCAGGAGTAAGAAAAGGATGCCCACCATTACCCCTCTTTTGCAATATAATACTTGAAACTTTAGCCAGAGCAATCAACCAGGACAAAAAATAAAAAGGATATGTATAGGAAAAAAAAGTCAAAACACCTTTATTCACAGATAACAATCCTTTATACAGAAGATCTTCCAAAAAAAGTCCACCGAAAGATTCCTAGAATTTTAGCAAAGTAGCAGGACAAAAAATCAACTACAGGGGGCTGGGGATTTAGCTCAGCGGCATAAGCGCCTGCCTTGCAAACAGGCAGTCGTGGGTTCGATCCCTGATACCGATAAAAAGGAAAAAGACAAAAAAAAAAAAAAAAAAATCAACTACAAAATAGTAGCATTCCTATATACCAATAATGAACCCACTAAGAACTTGGGAAAACAATACCATGCACAATAGCATCAAAAAAAAACTAAGCCAGGTGTGGTGGCCAATGTCTGTAATCTCAGAATTTGGGAGGCTGAGGCAGCAGCATTGCTGAGTTTGAGGCTAGCCTGGGCTACAAAGTGAGTTTAAAGCCAGCCTGAACTGCATAGTGAACTATCTCAAAAAGCAAAATTAAAACAAGAATCAGTCTAACAAGGAAGTAACAGGCCTCATGTCTGAAGTCCCCGCAAAACCTCATGCATTCATAGGTGGGATTTTTTGAGCTGGGCTGGATATAGAGCATGTGATTTTTGGATTAAGGTTGGGTTGACAGGTGGGAATTAATATAGTTCTGGGTGTAAATAATGAAAGCCCTATCTATCCTGAGTATGGGAGGCACCAGTCAATAGGTTTGTAACGGGTGGAATATAAAAGGGAGAGGCAAGGCAGGACTGCTGCTGCTGGCGTCTCTGCCTGCCCTGCCATGTGCTGTTTCTCCTCTAGGATGCTTCTCTGCCATTCTGCTCTGTATTAGAACTGGCTGACTATGGACTGAAACTTCTGTAAAGTGTGAGCTAAGTAACTTTCTCTGCTTTAATTTGTGGATGTTAGGTATTGTTTAAGCAACGAGAAAAGTAACATAAGGCACCTCTATAACAAAAACTGTAGTTAGTTTTGATTCCCAGCCCCCCTCCAAAAAAAATAAAAGGAAAAAGTTTGAATAGTACTTTCTGTGAGGGTGGAGAAAATACACTGTGAAGGTCAGTGGGAACTGCATGACTGTATTATACCATATCCTTATTATGGAATGTTATTTACAAATATAGGAGAGAGCCTATGTACAGAATAAACACATTTAAAAACCTCCATTTATGGCCAGGAGTGGTGGCACACACCTTTAATCCCAATACTGAGGCAAAAGGATTGCTTCAAGTTCAAGGCCGCCTGAACTACATATTGAAATCCTAAAGGTACATGCACACACACATAAACCCTTAAAATTAATGTGCATACCTATTGCTATATGGGACAGGGAAGACACACTAAACTACTGATATTCCTGAGGTAGAAGGGACTGAAGAGGGTTAAATTAACTTAAACATTTCTTTTTAGTATTTGTTTAAGCAGTATGTTTTATTTTCTTAATAAAAACAAACACAAAATGAAAACTACACTTCAAATATAAAGTTATAAATTTTAAAAGTGAAAAAAAGCTTTCAAGATAATAGTTGAGAGCTGGAGAAATACTGTTTGATGTAGTTTGTTTAGAATCAGGACAGCAGCCACCAGAAGAAACAGAAGAGCAGAGGGAGGACTAGGGAGAAGTGGCAGACGTGGACTTTACAAGAGAACGAGGCAGGAGGTCCCCCCAGGTGCTGTAGCGCCTGGTGCAGGAGCCCCTACAAAAGGAACAGCTTTAGGTATCATCTTCACTACCTCACACTAAAAGCCAGGTACACAAAAGAACCACCAAGTAAATAGACAGATACATAGGCAATCATCATACATTAGTCAGATCTCCTGGAAAACTAGAAGCAGTTTTTAAACATATTCCCACCATATTCAGTGTTTAGGTTACCCTAGAACAGGAACTATGTTCAAACCAGTGAAGGTATGAAAAATAAAAATGCCCCAACAATCTTTATTAAAGTCTCGCATGCAGTATAGTATGTACAAGTGGCACATGGTGCCAATTTTATTTGTGGATAGAGTTTTGAAGTTTACAAGTTACACTTTTGCTACAGCCTTGGCCAAATCTTTAACTAATACACAGTTCAGCTGCGGGAGAGTGCTGATCTTAGCATGTTTCGATGTAGCATACTTGTTCTTGATAGTCTGAAAGAAAAAAAAAAAAAAAAAAAAAGCACAACAGTAATCCATGAAAGAAGTCCCCACAACTAGCAACAAAATCTGTAAGACCAATGATTCTCATGGAGCTTGTGAGTTTTAAATGATATTCATTTAACACATCCTCACTGGGGATGTAGCTCCATGGTAGAGGACCTGGAATGAACCCCAATACCAAAAACCAAAACAAAAAATACCCCAAATTTTTCCCTCAGTGCATGGCCTAAACCCAAGGCATTGCCTCAGACTGCAGGCAAACCCTCTACTATTGAGCTACAGACACTAATTCCCTCTCAAAATGCCCTGCCCTGTTCAAATATCAAGGGTAGGCATCGTGGTCTGGCCTGTAATCTCCACTACTTCTGAGGCTGAGACAGGAAGATCACTTAAATCTAGATTGTGGCCAGTCTGTGCAACATAGTGAGGTCCAGTCAAACATAAAAACAAAAAACTAATAAGCAAACTCAATGTCAACTATGTATATATCACTTAAAAAAAAATAGAAGTATGCATCTACATAACATTAACTTCCTCCACCCCCCAGCAATAGGGATTGAACCCAGGACCCTTGCACTGAATTACATCGCCAATGTTTATGGGTTTTTTTTGTGGGATGGAGGAGGGATAGGAGACAGGTTTCTCCTTATGTAGTTCAGGCTGGCCTTGAACTCATAATGTATCCCAGGCCAGGGCATGATGGTGTATGCCTGTAATCCCAGCATTCGACAGGCTGAGCCAAGTTCTAGACCACCCTGGGCTACAAAGTGAGTTCAAGGCCAGTCTGAACTGCATAGTGAGACCCTATCTCAAAAAAGAAAAAATAAAATCATAGTATAGCCCAAACTAGCAATGATACTCCTGCCTCAGTATCCAGTGCTGGCATTAGATGTACATGCCACCATGCCCAACTTACTTTTCGAAAAAAGGCCTCACTAAATCACTAGCATTTGTCATGCCTCAGTGTCCAGAGGGCTGGAATTACAGGAACGTGCCGCTATACCTGGCTTGATCTTCATTTTCAAACATCATAAAATGTCAATAATTTGACTCACCATGTGCTTCGTAAGCCCATGATTCACCATGACTATATTCTTAGCCAGGTGCTGCATGACGGGAAGAAGAGACTCTTCAGTATACGACAGGTAATGCTGCAGAGTTGGTGTCTATGACAACACAAACATGTTAAAAATTCTCATCAACAGTGGTTTTCCACAGAATTTCTCAATGTTATTCAAGAGTGGGGCAGGTAGATGGCTATGTGTGACTAATGATAACTGGATTTAGAGAGGCTAAAGTCTCCTTCCCCAAGTGCTCTCTCATGCTCCTTAGAAATGTGTGCTCACATCTAATCACACTATTGCAATTGGTGGCTTGTGTGCCCCAAAGTTAGGCTCCTAGCCCTCGAGGCTTTCTCATTCAGAATTCCATTTCTAGAGAACAGGTTAGTGCCTGGTACACAGCAGAAAGACTGTACAATCAATGAATATCAATGAATTCCTGGTATGTCATTTGACCTGTTTGGATCCCACATCTGTAAGGACTACCAAAGGGTTATACATAAGGATTAAAGTAGAGAAAAAAATGGAAGTTTTCCATGCAGAGGTATCATAAACACTATTTTTACTATTCTCTCAGTAGATTCCATATTCAATAAGTGGTGAACTGTCTTAATAAGAGTTCTATATTCAGTCAAGTGAGCTTACCCATTCACCATTATCAAGAATTTTCAGTGCTAAGCAAAAAGCTCCTGCTGCAATTTGAGAAGGAGGAAAGTGCACCATATCATAGTCCAACATAGACAGTTCCATCAGGTATTTGGCCAAAGTATGTTGCTCAACATCAACCTGGAACAAAACCCACAATTCACTAAGCTTCTTTCAGAGAATTTTACAATGGCAATGACCCGTAATATCTTTAACTACAAATATCTGTCTATAAACTCTAAATGCAGTTACCCATGACAGATAGTAATAATCACGATAATAGCTCACCTTACTAAAATTAAATACCATCTTTATTCTTTCCCCACATATGTAGGCATTTAACACAGGTTAATGGCAATATTCCCTAACTTGTACCATTCCAAAGGTTTTTCACAAGATCTTTACCTCTCCAATCTTAGATGCCCTACGAAGGAAGTGCAGGGGGAGTGGGCGACCCAGAGCAAAGTTCAAAACTCTGAGAATCTTCATTTCCATCTGTCTGATCTGGTGCTTAGTGTAAGTGCTGTTAGTCACATAAGCAAAGTCACCGATTTCTGGAGGGTACATTTCTTCATATTTGCTTGCAATGAACATGGCGGTGACTCCAACCAGCTGTAGCATCTTCTTAGGCACACAGCTATTCTGCAATGGCAATTTTCATTGCGTGAATAGTACTTGACAAGGAGATGTACTTCCACAGCCCACCTCAACTAATGACAACTTATCTCCCGACACAAGTACAGTTAAACAGTCTCCTATGAGTCAGCCACAAACCTGGAATAGAGAACTTTCAATCACTGAATTACAGCTGGGCATGGTGACGCAGGCCTATAATTCTGCACTCAGAGGCTGAGGCAGAAAGATTCCAAGTTTGAGGCTGTCCTAGGTAATTTAGTGACTGTCTCAGAATAAAAAAAAGCTGGGAACATAGCTCAGTTCAAAAGCCCTGGATACAACCCCCCAGTACCACAAAACAAACAAACAGACTGAAATATGCTTACCTGCATGAACCGGTCAATAATGGAAACAGTCATGTACATAGTCTCCTGCAGCAACCTGAATTTCATCTGAACCTGTACTAGCCAGTCAATTAGGATGGCTCTCATGTTTCCAGTGACCTCTTGACCCAGCAGGTATTTTGGTTTGACTGACTGTTCTTCCTGCAAAAGAAAATGCCATTTATCCTTAGAAGCATGGGTCCAGGTGACATGCATGTGCAGAACACCAAGCAGTCACCATGGGATGGCTCTGGGCAATTTAGAACTATAAAAGTTTCTACTTGAATTATTCACTATAAACAGCTCCATCATGGAGAAAAAGCAACCAGGATAGTGGGCCAGGTTTTACACACTGGCATTTCTTACTTAGAATGTTCCATTAACCAACACAGCTGCTGGTTCCTGTCCTGTGCAGACCTTGCTCACCTCTTATTGCTTGAGACTTTAAGACTCTAAAACCAGGATAACTGATCTTTAATGTAGTAAAGAAATTATCAGTAACCCCCAAATCTATCCAAACACACGTGTCTGTATTCCTGGTCCAGTGTACAAAACAATACCAGCATCCCATCTCCTCAGAGGGCCGAGGTGAAAGGACCACAAGTTCTAGGCCAGCGTGGGCAACTTAGCCAGACTCTGCCTAAAAGGGAAAAGAAAAACTAGGATGTCCCTCAGCACTACCAAGGTTCAATCCCCAGTATACCAGACTAGATGTAACTCTGCTAAATCAGTCCTACATAGTTGGAATTTTTTTAGATTTTTTTGGAGATAAGATCTTGTCATGTAGATCAGGCTGGCCTTGAGCTGTCAAAAATAAACAAACAACTGGACAACCAAGATTCTGGAAGAATGTTTACTAGACAGAATGTTTCCAGGGCAGGTTATTTAGCTCAGCAGTATAACAGCATACCTGGCAAGCACAAGGTTGTGAGTTCATCTCTGGCACCAAAAAATCTCCCCAAAACCAAAAGGCATTTCAGAATGTTTCCTTGTGACAGGAGGGGAAAGAGCAAATGTCTTCAATACAAGATTTTTTGAGACAGGGTCTCATTATGCAGTTTAGGCTGGCTTTGAACTTGCAGTGATCCCCCTGCCTCAGCCTTCCAATACTAGGATTATAGGTGTGCACCACCACACCCAACAGTGCAAACTCTTAGATAAAATTGCAGGGAACTAAGAGGTTGCTTTGCTTGTGTTCTGACAACAGGTACTCAGGCACACTGATGAAGTGCTAGGTTGGTGACAGTCTATTCTTACCATTTTCTCGGCCTATTAATTCTTTTAATTCCAGAGAGTTTGGAATTTACCCACTCTCCACTGTGATGTGTGTCCTGATAGTAATCTAGGGAGGTGGACTGTAAACTCTGCCACACTGGGCAACTTAGTGAGACTCTGTCTCAAAGTAAAAACGGGCTGAGGGGTGTGACTCAGAGCAAAGACCCTGGGTTCAGATCCCCATTTAAAAAAAATGTCCAGGCACAGTGGTACAAACTTGTACTCCCAGTTACTCAGAAGGTTCAGAAAAGAACATTGCTTGAGGGGCTGGGGATTTAGCTCAGCAGCATAAGTGCCTGCCTTGCAAGCAGCAGTTGTGAGTTCCATCCCTGTTACTGATTTAAAAAAAAAAAAGAAGAAGAAGAAGAAGGAGAAGAAGAACATTGTTTGAGTCTGGAAATTTACTATGTAGTAGTACCTTGCTTAAAAAAAAATCTTTTAATAAAGCTAGGCGCATTTTATAAAAAACACACTCAAATAGTAATACCAACCTCAAGCTGCCTGAGATAAGCATAGATATCTTTCACATATTCACTACAGAGGTTTGGATCTGCTCCATCTTCCGCATCCACATCACTCACAGCCAGAATGACATCAGAGAAAGCCTGACATAGGTCTTCTTCTGCAGGAGCGCAGCCAGAGGTCTCCATGGGGCTTGGAGAGGGAGTGTCAACCTGGAGAAAACAGCAGAGAGGAACACACAGGACAGTTTGGGAATGAAGGCCAGATTTAATATAAACTCAAGGAACTTCCCGAGGCAGTAACTCATTTCCTTAAGGAATAAGTCTCATCATTTTGGGAAGTGGAGGAAGAAGAACAGCAAATTCAACACCTTAGCAAAATCAGTCTTCAAATTAAAAATAAATAAACAAAACAGGCTAGGAATATAGCTCAGCTCAAGGGTAGAACACTCACTCCTGGGTTCCATCACCAATGTTACAGGAGAAAAGAGGCAAGGTAAATAAATTCATATTCTGGACCACCTATGGCACATGTGCTGCCGTAGGCACATAGATCCTCTCTGTTGGCATGAGAGCCAGGTCACCCTAGCAGCCGAGAATTGGGTAACACACCAAATGCAAGTTTTACCTTTTGATAAAAAGCTGTATCATTAAAAGCTGTTACTGTATTTTACTTTTAAGACAAAAGATATCAGTGCATAAATTGTTTTTTTGAAACTACAATCCCAGTATTTAGGTTTAACTGCAGTGTTGGTGCTTTATAATAAATAAGCAGGTTTGGGTTGTAATCTAGGTATTCTCTAAAAGGCTCACCATCATGTCTCTAGATCTAGCCTTTCCTCCAAAGGGGAAGGAAAGCTGCTTATCAGCATCAGGTGAAGTTAATCTAAATGAATTACAGGTTAGCCTGTAGTCTTTATTTGAAAACAGATTGCTTCTCACTACTCACGAGAATGCAAGTTCTGCCCTCACTACTAAGGATTAGCTAACTTTATTACCATTAACCATTTCCTACAAGCCCTCTTTACCCCACAGTTCAAATATCTTTCCAGTATTTTCTTTAAGTCAAACTGTGTTGGGCACTAACTTTCTGGCATCTTCAAGGGGATTTAAGTTTAGCAGAAATAAGGTGAATAAACTGGGATTATTCTGGGGCAAGGGCTGGGTGAAGGAAGTTAGGGAAAGCTTTAGGAGCTGCTTCCCTTGTTTTGAGGATGAAAAGGTTAGCTGACTAATAAGAGCCTCGGGAAGGCATTAAGTGGAAAAGCAAAAGACTTCCATTTAAAAAAAAAAAAAGAAAGAAAGAAAAAAAGACAAATAACCCACAGCTTCTGAATGTAGTTCATTATAATTTTAGCAAAGCAGCCTCTTCTGTGTGCTGCTTTTCTTTAACAGTTTAGATATACTTACATTTACTAATTTAAGGAAGTTCTTTTGTTTTTTGGGTGATAGATTAGACCCAGGGCCTTGGGCTCGGACTGTATCAGTGACCTAGCTACACCCTCAGCCAAAAAGTTCTTGGGTTTTGAGGCTGTTAATTGGTCTTCTCCCCCTTTTTAGCAGTAGTTTGTGATTTACTCTTTTATATAGCCCAACATCATAGGGGTATTAGTTATTTAGTGGTCACATTAAGCAAAATCTTTGGTTCAGACAGCTACTACTTAGTATCATTTACAAAGTGGACAGTAAAAGAAAACAAAAGCATAGACACAAACAAGACAGTCTGGACTCAAGAATCCCACATGTGCTATTTATTGCTGTGAGACCCATGATTTTCCTTAGCCATTATCTAAAAAAATTGAGTCAGGGGATACAGGGCAGCAACACAGTGCCTGCCTGGCAGGTGCGAGTCCCTGAGTTCAATTCCCTGTACCAATAAATAAATAATTGAGATAACTAGAGAGTGTAGGTAAAGATTGTTTCAATTAATGCACAAAATGACTCGCAGGATTTGGTAAGCACTAATTAAATTACTATCATTACTATTTATTTATAAACAGTTCCAAGCATGAGTGAAATGGGTACTAAATTTACCAAAATAGGTTCAGGAGAAAGTTTTTCTTCCTTAATAGGCTCAGGTTCAGGTTTTGGTTCTGGCACACACACGGGCACCTTTTCCAGAGGTTTCTGTAGTTTTTTAGCCATAACTTTTCCAGTCGCTGAAGTTTTTGCTTCCTGTAGAGGAAACAGAACACAATGTTTCTCCATCAAGGGGTCACAGCTGGCAGGTGGGCTCTCCTAGGAAGTGGGAGGAAGAGTTACCTTTTTCAGAGGCACTCTGGCTTGCAGCTGCTCACTGACTTTGTTACCGATATCTCCAAGAGCTGTTCTTGGCCTCAAACCTGGCTTGGAGGCTGCTGCAGTAGCCACGGGTACACGCTTAGCGCCTGCCATACTGAGCGTAGCCTTATTTTCAGTGTTAATTTTTGTGTTCTGAAAAACGCAAGAGTACTTTCAAAAGTCGTCCAGAGAGATTCGTAATAAATACAAGTCAGGTAAGGATTTTAGGAAAATCGGCTGCAAACTGGGGCTCGAGGGTTCACCCTACGGCCGGGACGCTTTGCTTTCCTCCCGGAACATCATTCACCCACTGAGGAATTTCCTCTCAAGTTTCCGGCAGCACTTAAAACACCAACAATTTGTATTCTAAAGGAAACCAGAGGTGCCTCCAATTGCAGACATCTCCCAGAGGATCCGCAGTTGGAGGACTCGCTCAGGATCCCCTGCAGTCACTTTTTAAAAAGGCTTCTCGATGTGACCCTTCACCGCCCCCTAAGATCTTTATCCAGACGAGTCCAGTCCTCTCTCGCCGCACCTCTGTCCGTCCCCAAATTCCCGACCACGTCAGGGGCCCACTGGTGCCCGTCTCGGTGACTTCCCATCCTCCCCGCATCGCCGCCGGGGTCCCCCCCCCTCCTGCCCTGTGGTCACATTAGGTAAGACAGGCCCGCAGACAAGGGCCGCATTCGCCCAAGGATCGTAGCAGCTCACCCGGGTGACTCGGAGCGCCATGGCTTCCTCTTCACCGGGAAAAAGCAGAACACCGGAGCCCCAGGACAGCCTCGACACACACCGCACTGGAGGTCAACAGCCGTTCCCCCGCAGCACGCCGGGAGGAGCCAGCCGGCTCAGGTTTAAACCCCGCGCCACTCCCTTCTGATTGGCCCGTTCGTGGCACTCGTTTTCTTTTTATTGGTCCCTGCCGGTTCCCGCAGAATGCGTTTCCAGGGCGACCTCGAGACGACGTTCTACAGGAGCTGGGCCAGAGCGAGACTGCAGCGGCTCAGCGATGCCCTTTTCTCGCGAGGTCTGGGTCGGCGCCTGCGCTCCGGGGCAGCTGCGGCGGCCACCTTGAGAGGTCGGTGCGTGCGTCCTCATCTGGGAGGGCGGGTCCGCGGTCCAGGGGTCTCTGGGAAGTGAGAGGGGCGGTGTCGATGTTAGGAGGCTACAAAGCGGTTTTGGCCATAGCAGCTTTGCGCTGCTCCAGTAGCAGCGATATTGGAGAGATCATAGGTCCATTCTTTTGTTTGGTCGTCCCAACAAACATACGGGGAGGATAGTTGAGCTTCATGTGATGTGGGAAGCACGTCCGTGCTAAAATAGTTATTTGCATGAAGCCAATGAAGGTATTTATGGTCTCTTGTAGTTACCGTGTGTGGCAGTGGTGGTGTAGGTCCTAGGGCTACATCCATTGTCTTTTTTTTTTTTTTTTTTTTCTTGAGACAGGGTCTGTGTAGTCCAGGCTAGCCTCAAAACTCAGTGGCGAGCCTCCTGCCTCAGCCTCTGGAGTGCTGGAATCACAGGGCTGACCCCGAGACCAGACTCCCAGATTTTTCTTATTGATTGATTGATTTTTTATCTCTTTGAGAACAAGATCTCACTATGCAGTGCAGGCTGGTTTTGAGCTCATTTTGTAGCCCAGGATGGTCTCGAACTCCTAACTATCCTTCTGCCTCCCAAGTGCTGGTATTATAGGCTTGTGCTACCACGCTCGGCTTTTTTTTTTTTTTTTTTTTTTAATTTTGAGACAGGATCTAAATTGCTAAATTTTCCAGACCGGGCTTAAGCTTGTGAACCTCATGCCTTACCCTAGCCGCCATGCCTGGCTTCATTTTAGTTTTTCTTCCACATGTATTTATTCCTAGTAATACTAATGATTTTCATAATATGATATACTTTATGAACTACTATGTGCCAGGACTTTATTCTCACATTATGATATAAAAGAGGATTCCGTGCAATCTTTTTGCAGGACTTGGCCATGTTCAAATAGGGTGCCCTGCAAGCTTGTGGATGCCAACTGCTGGTGTGGTCCGGTTCCCATTAATAGGTTTTAAATGCTACTGGTCGTGCAGCCACCATCATTTTTCATGCATTATATGATTCTCTCTGTCAAAGGAGATTGAGACTGGGTGTGGTGGTACATGTTCATAATCCAGCAGTCTGGGAGGGTGAGGCAGGAGAATCACAAACTCAAACTCAAGTTGGGCAGTTTAGTGATTTAGCAAGACTGTCTCAAAATGAAAAAAATAAAAATGAAAAGTGCTAGGGAATCTAGTTCAGTGCAAGGCCCTGGGTGCAATCCCCCAAAACAAAACAAAACAAAAAAGATCTCGGTGTAGTGGCACATGCCAGAAAGCCCACCCACTTGGGAGGCCTAACTGCATAGTGAGACCTTGTCTCAAAAAAAATAAAATTAAAATATATAAATAGAAAACAAAAAAATTGACCTTGTAAGCAAAATGGAATCCACAGACCTGAAAGAAATACCTGATAGTGTGATTACCTTTCCCAGGTCATCCAGTTGTCTCAGGCAGGAAGAGGGAGGACAAGGAGAAGGGACTGTAAAGCCCTGCTTTTGCATGCACAGCTGTGCTTGCATAGGAACTGCTGAACTATCCTTTCACACTTGTAAACTCATAGGGAAGACCTTGGACTTAACTGTGGACTTTCACTCCACCTGACTCAAGATTCCTTCCCAACTACTGCATGATGGAACTTCATTGAATTAAGTAATCATCAACCTGGGCTCATTTTGTCCTGCCGGGGATACCTGGTGGTGTTTGGAGACATTTGGGGTTGTGACAGCTGGGGTAGTATTGCTGTATGGCGGATGGAGACTGGAGAGCTGTGCATGTCCTACCCCAATGGTGCTGAGCCGAAGACACTGGGCAGCTCTGTGCAAAGCCGAAGATGTACTGCTCTTCGGCATGCTGGTTTTTAAGAGTGTACCAACTGCCATCTCCTTCCCCTTTGTCCTCCCGGGAGCTACTCAGTGTTCCCACCTTTGACCAAGCTAATGGTGCCAACTGCATAGCAGGGAGTGCTCTGGCACTAAGGTGCTAGCTAGCTGTAAACCAAGCAGAGGTGATCCCAGAGGTCCCAGAGCTCACACTCCAGCTGAAGAGCTGCTAAACAAGCAAGCAAGGAAATGAGATGGGATTAAGCAGCCAGTAAATGGATAGATAAGCTAGAGTGACTTTGTCACTCTAGTGACCTGGTTTGGTGGTCAGGAATAGTCTCCCTGGCGAAGTGACATGGAAGCTGAGCCTAAATGACAAGAAAAAGAACATTCTGGGTAAAGGAAGCAGCCTGTGAAAAACCCAAAGATAGGAATGAGTTTGTTGAATGCAGAAAAACCAATGTGGCTACCGTGTGGGATGGAATACCATGAAGAGAGATGATAGCTGCTACTGTATCTTACAAGCAGAAAAAATACCAGTCTGCGTGAAGCAGGGTAACCAGTCTGGGTATTATAAATGTGGTGGAACCCAGGGTGGTGGTGTTAGGGAGGTTGTTTGGTGTGATATGCCTTTCAATAAGATGACCTTCATTACCTATGGAGAGAATGTGTAGGGTGAGGGGAGAATGAAGAGGCTTCTTTGAAGAAACTGTTGCAGGAGGTGAGGTTGAGTTGCTGGGTCTTCAGGTTTGCAGACTTGAATGAGGGAAGAGTCAAAAGGTCTTAGCTAGAATGCTGGGAATAGAGAAGATCAAGAGATGACTCTGCCTTGAGAGGGTGACAGAATGGGGGGTTAGGGATTCTGCTGCATTTGCAAAGTCCAGCAATATGAAAGAGGAGAAGTCTGTGAGGCAGGGGTTAGGGTGGAAGACATACTCCGCTTTGGCTGGAGATAGTATGTACATGTTCATGTATTTAGTTAGTAGTGCTGAGGAGCAAAGCCAGGGGCTGTGCCTACTAGGAGTGCTTTACTGTTGAGCTGTACCCCCAGCCTGACATAGATGGGATCATCCAGAGAAAGAACATGCAGCATGTCCAGAAGACAGCCTCAGGGCCCTCCCTATTCACAGATGGGGTACAGGAGGAGGCACTGGTTAAGGATATTGGGCAAGAACACCAAAGTCACAGGAGACCCAATAGTTGTAGCTCTGCCAAGAGAAGGTGGTGTTTTGGAGCAACTGGCAATAGATCATGTTAGACTGAATGCACATGTCTGAGCAGGGACATGTACTTTTAGTCCAAACTACTTGGGAGGCTGAAGCAGGAGGATCAAAATTTGAGGTGGCCTGGGCAGGAACATAGTGAGACTCTACATCATCAAGGGTAGGTGGAGAGAGAGTGATAACTTTTGGAAACATCATGACGCTCAGGGGACAGAGAACTGAGCACAGACAGGAAGATAAAGTCTAACCACAGAGGGGGCGGTGGAGTGAGCCAAGGCTCCAGGAATCCACAACTCTAATGGCACAGAGGGAGTGCAACCTGGCACTGGCTGCCTTCCTTCCGCATGGCTGTCACCGTGAAGGTGACAACTGGAATCAAGTGGAGAAGGATTAAGTGAAATTCTGTGTGCTCACATTCCAGATGCTGAGGGCTGGGTGTATACCTCTCTAAGACAGGTGAGAAGGCCTTTCTGGAAAGGAATCCCTTCAGAAGACTTTGAGCATACTGATGGTTGGGGGGGTCTCGGTGAGGTGAATGGGTCCACACTGGGCCTCTCTAGTAGGGAACCTCCCTGCATGGCACACATGCACCCTGGCACAGGGCTTCTAGTCAGTGTTTCATGATTTGACTGCTAAGTATTATTAGTCAGCTGTGAAGCAGACATTTGAACCTGTAACTCTTTAAAAGGGACCAAAACAACCAACAGAAACAGAAACTCCTAGGGAGAAGTCAGTTCATAAAGAAAGCTATAGGAAATGCATAAACACATATTTTTACTTATACTATCAGAGAATTCATCCACAAGCAAGTTTTTTAAGAAGACCTCTGGGAAACTAAAAATATAAATGAAATATGCAACAGCAGATTTGGAAGACTAAGTCCAAAAAATCTCCCAGAGCAAAGGAAAAAAAAAGACAGATGGATTCCAAAAAAGATAGGAAAATTAGATGAGCATTCCCCAAAGTCTGATCTATAACTACTAAGAGTTTCAGAAAAAAAAAATGCAGGGAGGAAATTATTGCAGCAATAATACAAAGAAACTTTCCCTGCCATGCTGGAACATAGGGCGCTGGGCAACAAAGCAACCCACTTGCCTCTCTGGTAAGCAGCTGTGAGTCTACTGGCATGTGGGCTAAGAATCAAACAGCCCATGCCCCTCTTAGCAAATGGGGGCCAGAGGTCTGAGTATCTCGAGAAGATGACTGTATGCAATACAACAAATATGGGGAATTTACTTTTACCATCTCTTTGAAGGCAAATATTGTTATCACTGTTTTGCTTTATTTTGATTAATTGTATTGCTGTATTCAATATTCTGATTTGATAGGTTTTATGATATTCTATATTTAGTTTGATTTTGCTATACCTGGTTGAAAGGACAACTATTGTGAAGATAACAAGATATACTATGGTACCTGTTACTGTTATCCTGGAAACCTTCCGTGAAGTTCTGTACCAATTTCACTGCATTGTCTCAATTGGTCTTGTTCTGTTGTATTTTATTACCTTCAAAATAAAAATTTAAAAAAATACAAGAAAACTTTCCAGAACTGAAGGATATATAAATATATGTTTCATGAGCCCATATCTGAGTATCCAGAATATAAATGAAAAAAAAACCTCACCTGTAACAGACTTTGCTGGCATTTAACCTTAAAAATAAAGGAGGAAATTCCTACCCCCTGCCAAAAACAACCCCACCAAAATCAGTGCACTACCTACCCAGACCTGAGGCATTTTAAAAAAAGGTTTTAGATGCTGTATGTAACCAGTCAATGAGGT